CGAGAATCGCGTAGCCTCTAATTGACGAACCTGACAGGAGAGAAATGGGTGCTCGTTGTTGATGAGCATGGGCAACGAATCGGCTGTTGCGCGAGTGAGCAGCCGCAACGAGGTTGCCCTTGAACAGTTTCGAAGTGAAGAAGCTGAAATAATTGTTATAGATCGGGAATGATTTTGAAACCCCAAAATAGTGAAGCTATCCTTAACCAGAACTTGCTCAATAGTCTAATAGGTACCAAGTTCCCTGCCCGGGAAGGTGCCATCAGCGAAATTGACAAGCTACTGAACTTACCGTGTGAAAAAGTAGTAGAAAGAGATCAATGAGGCGCATTGCTGACCAGAGGTGCGAAAAAGCTTTAAAGTGGCTCGAGAAAGAGGACCGACGAGGAAGGCGATGCTCTGTTGATCAAATATTTACTGAAAAACGGTGAAGACTATTAATGATGACCGGTCCTTATATTAGACCAATGGATTCAGCGGCATTAAGCCATTAGTCAAATTCAGTTATCATTTCTGGGCACTGGTCATCTCATAATAGTAGGGCGAATAAGAGGAACAAAAGGAAGCGAAGTCCGAAGAGTGGGATGTAAAAAGTTAAGTATAATTTAACTAGATGGATATTTGCTGAAATTGGAGCAAGAATCATTAGACGAGACGTTGTAGGTTAAGATTGAGGGTAGATAGTGTGCATGAGGATTCGGAAAACTACCATAGGCGCTCTTACGCCACCAATGGGTTGATGACTAGAGCAGAGCCGTCTGCAGAGGATCTGAGTTTTTAGTGGCTATGCTCCTCATAGGTTCTTTGAAAGTATGGGTCATTCAATGCTTATCTGTTTTTCGGCTTCAGCGGCAATAAGTTAGATAACGCTGATCGCAACATTTTTTGTTTTCATGAAAGTGAGTGACTGAAGACATCACTCTATGTCAATGTCAGATTGATGACGCAGATGAAGGCCTGGAAGCGATCAGATTCGTATGATTGGAAGATACCCATCACCGGGAATAAATAGAAATAAATGAAAATTCCATGGTAGGTCACACTTCTTGCCATCAAGTATCACCATTGCTTCAGATTTGAAAGTGGTGAATCACAAGAAATTTTCTATCCAGAATTAAAGACGAAAATAGAGAATTTTTCGTCAGTAACTCCTCACTAATGCTCCTTCATATCAGAACATAATATTATAGCAGCCTCAGCACCTCCTTTCCACCGAAGAAGAACTTTGGCGAATGTCTGACCTCGGCCAGTCAATGAAAGTATACTGATATGTACGCGTCTCATGATTTGACCTTCTCATCAATAGCATTACCGGGAGCAAGAGTGTGGGAGTGATGCTTCGGAATACAAGGAGACCAGGGAAGCGCTCTATCGAGCTCCGGGCTTGACTGGAAGATGGGTCCACCCTCACTTGCACTACCAAAGAGCCAGTTTTGAGTCTGCCCTTGTCGAACGAGTCAGAGCCGTGGGCTAGGGAACAGCGTTAGGCGAAAGAAGGTTTCGAAAGCGATGTCAATCACACTATTTGCCTGGCATCACCTATTGCCATTAAAATATCATGATGCCTCTCCACCACTTAGAACTTGCTTCAGAACTTGAGTAGCTTATGCTGCCCACTTTGGTTGCTTGAGTTCGAAATCAAGTTCAATATTTCAATCGAGGGTGGCACTCAACGCGGTCAGTGTTTTGGTGCCAACGATTTGAGATGGAAGCGAGTGTTCGTTGCTGAGGACGAGGAGGATATGTCCAAAAGTTTTGGCTTTTTCAGCTGGGGAATTATTGGATTAATCTCGCTCCCTCATTCAAGTGGACCAATGTACATATGGAAGGCTCCACGAGCGCTGAAAATGCAATCTTAATGTCAGTTTCGCTCCAGCATTAAAAGATGTGGTTTCGTAGAGAGCGTTCTTAATTTGTTCATGAAATGACCGTGGAGGTGCCAAGGAGAAATCGGCAATCAAAAAATCTTGATCACCAGATAAATGGCAAGCAATAGGTGGAGATAAAGGGTTCGGGATGTACTGGAGCAGCTGCTGATGTTTTCCTTAATCTGCAGATTGTCTCGCTAAGCTTCCTTGGGTCGGCCGTTAAGCTGCCAAAGGAATAGCTGCCTAAAGAATAACCCATTAATATGAAGAGGTCTGGTGAACAGACCAGACTGGGAGGGAAAAATACAATGCGACAACACCGAAGAAAACTAAGCAAATTTCTGACAATAAATTTCCATACACCCAGCTCCTCTGTCATCTTATCTCTCTTACTTATTTGCTTGCTGTTCTTTTAGGTTGGTCTCTGTCTCCTCATTCCAAGGATATACGCCCATAAGCCGCAAAATAAACAAAGTTGTCTACCGATCTAACAACGAGTCAACATTGCAAAACAGAACGTCTAATATCAGGGTGGATGGAAAAAAGCAGTCCTGAAGAAGCCTACATTGAATTTATTTTGGTGCTCTATGTAGTGAAGAGACCGTCTATGGGACCTCACGTTTTCACTATTTTAAATAACGATAACTTGAAAAGCTCAGTTTATTTAGTACAATATCAGCTAAAACCTGCTGAGCAAAAGAAGGCATCAGTGTCTGCGGGACTGGGTCCGTAACCCTTGAACCTGCTACATCTTCGAAGCTGTGCCACCTTTGCACTCCATATCCGGGAGAGGACAGGGTGTGGCTGCGTACTTCATTCGAACAAGGCATAAGTCGGATATTCCCATCTGAGATAACTGTCATCCTATTGCTGAACAAAGACATGACTACAATTGATCAAAAGCGGAAACATTTCAACAAAAGTGCAATTGATTCGCTGTTAATCAGTAAGCAGCCACGCCTGGTAATCTTCGGAACAATGGAGTGCACCTATCCACTAACGCAGCCTCCCTTTCGTAAGGCATCAGGACGCATCCCAGAAACGCTCTTTAAGTCATATTTTCCCTAGTCAGATTTTCAGCAATTGGCAATATCAGAGGGATAGCAGGTATGAAACCTGCCCTTAGCGTCCTCGAATCTTACGGCTGTGATCGCACCCGCGTGCCTTCCGAGGTTGCCAGTTAATCCCTTACTAATTCGAGCTCGAGATGATGCCATAAAAAACATAGACGCTTGCTGAACATGAGTTTCTGTAGATCGCGTAAAGCGCATAAATATCAAGTAAAACAATATCTGGTGTCGGACCTATTCAAAATTGCTGTAATTTTGAGATGCTGACAAAAATTCAGACCGCTGTCCGGAATGCCTACGCGCGCCTCACCAAAATCAATATGGGCGAAATGATCTCTCTCATTTCCGCTGTTTTCCGGAACTACTTGGATAAAATCTTTTGTAAATGTCAGCGAACTCGTCTTCGTCGACACTAAGATTGCTAATAACTTTCATCCGGCTCACATTTCAACATTCTTGGTGTCAAACTGGACAAGCTCTATGACTTTACTAAAGAACATGGCAAGATTCATAGAGAATTGCATTGAACAAAATCTTTTCTTCTCTCGTATAATCACGAAGCACAAGCACTAGCGCGAGATTCAAGACCACTAAGAAGGGAGATTGAACGGAGTTGTGTCGTGAGCCAGTGAAAGAAAATCTGCAGCGCTCCTGTAAACAGTAAGGGTTTTTAGACCACTACTCGCGTGGATTAGTGGCAGCTGTAAACAGACCCACGCAATGAGTCATTTCGTCTCCAATTAGATTCCATGCAAACATTAGCTTACTCCTCTGACTGTTCCCTTAGGTCTCCGCTCTTTTCTAGGGGTCTTTCTGAACGGAACTTTGATCTGAAGATTGGCGTGAGCGCAGCCAGCACAGCCTTTTCCTGTTCAATTTAGTAGTTCACTTGAGCCGACCAAGATTGTTAACATTTATTAGGCCAACGTTTCGGCTTGTTCGCCTTCGTCAGAGCCTGAAAGAGTCAAAAACAGATGTGACTTGTTCTCTCAAACGCCTAACTAAAACTGAAGACCCATTTCGAGAAGCCGGTAAACCACCTAACTGCATCGGTCAGTAAAGATGACTTGGCTTACCTTGATCGCGGTGACGCGAGATGGACCACCCAGGCTGTACTGATGCAATAAGTGAGAACTGCCCCTCCGCCCTTCGACCTCAACCTCGACCTCACGTAGATCAAAACCCACAGAGGTCAGAGAAGGGCGCAAGCTCACGCGTAAATGGCCACAACAACTCTTTTTCTGTTCCATATTGGGGGTCTCTAAAGCCGAAATCCAGAATGCTTCCCAAGATCTTCTCGCGCATGCGATTTCAGCGATTCCTAGCGCCAGGACAGTTCTTCGCTTATTGCATCAGTACAGCCTGGGTGGTCCATCTCGCGTCACCGCGATCAAGGTAAGCCAAGTCATCTTTACTGACCGATGCAGTTAGGTGGTTTACCGGCTTCTCGAAATGGTCTTCAGTTTTAGTTAGGCGTTTGAGAGAACAAGTCACATCTGTTTTTTTTTGACTCTTTTCTTTCAAGGCTCTGACGAAGGCGAACAAGCCGAAACGTTGGCCTAATAAATGTTAACAATCTTGGTCGGCTCAAGTGAACTACTAAATTGACATCACAACCATGCCAAGATTAAGGGATAGTCGGTCCTGGTCGATTCTTTCCTCTTAATTGTTGGCAAAACTCAAGATGGTGCTATTCCCAGAAATGGCCCCTAGCTGCACCCAGTTCACTTCCCGCCCGCGCGCTTCATCGTTTGAAGGAATCGTTACTGTACTTTGAGCACTGCTTCGTGTGACAGGACCAAGAGCTTTCACCGGGGCGGATATGCTAGTCCCCCGAACATTCATTCAAGTAATTTTAGTTACTTCTTGAAGTCGCGCAAATATCGTCGAAATAATAGTAGTTATTTACACGCATCACTACGCCCACATAAGCAGTGTGATATGTCATGGAAAAGCTTGATAAAGTCAGCATGAACCCAATCACTATCACAAAAGAAGCAGTATCACAATTTTAATCGGTCTAGTGGTCGCGATTTCTCGCTGCGACAACTTCACTGAGAGTGACGATCCGTTTACGCACTGAGCTTACAGCTCCTATATGAACCACGAGGTTGGTGTCCGTTTGCCGCCCGACGAACCCTGATTCGTCCAGGATATGGTCCTTTGCATGGCCGTCGAATGCTCGTCTACTGGACACTTCTGATAATTTGGAAACGATTTCCCTGATTTTCTGCGTTCGAAACACAACCGCTGGCGTACAGCAGGACTCAGTTGAGCTCATGTAGACCGACTTCGTGATAGCATAGCGCACATCGGCCAGGAGCTAAAAGATTTGCTAAAATGGTTTGAGAAATAGAACTCAAACGTCGAATAATGCTGTCCCTACCTGGTAGTGATATGAGCGAAGAATTGCACACATGAGAGCGGAGGTGACCAGTAACCATAATAAATATACCCGTTGGAAGAAAATAATTTGGCAGGTGTAACAAAAAATCAGCGGTAATGCTATTGCCTAAATGAGTTTTTTTACATGTATCCCAATAAAGTTAATATCGAAAAGACCTTCACACCATCGGAATGGAAGGTATTTTGCGCAGTGGGTTTGGATGGTACAGTTTCACGTAGTCGATGTAAGGTCGACTATCCAGTTGCCTCATAAGTGACGTCATCATCCTGGCGAATTCGGGAACCACAAGGGCGTCATCTTCCAGCAGCATTACATATCTGTCGAAGCAAGTTTATCTTGAAGGATTATGACATACTGAATCACACGAATAAAACTGAAAAATAAATTTATTACTTGATTCACATAGGTCTAGGAATTTCACTAGTAATTTTTCATTCCAATAAAATGATACAGAGCTGTGGTTTTTCGCATGTAAATTCTCCGTACTTGTCAACAAACAATTGTTCCTTTGTTGAACCCCTTGGATATCACCTCCGAATCAGCAACACCCCAGGAGGTAGTACTGTTGCGTTGAAGCAGTTCTTCTAGTTGGAAAAGGTGCTATTGGGAGTGTCTGCCGATTTTGGTGAAAAAGCGCATGGAGGATGGCACGAATTGGCGCCCAGTGGCGCCATCGCTAAAAACGAATGCTATATTCGTGACCAGAAACCCAAATAGTCCCTCTCTGCAAGTTGACTATGGTGAGAAAAGTGGAGTGGCCAAATTGGGCAAAAATTGGCGCTAGAGGCCGAAAACTAAAGCTGATCAGAGCATCGAATTATCCCCATGAGCAAATTTCAGCGCAGAAAAATTGAGTTTTCGGGGTAGCAATAGTTGAATAGTATCTTGGCTTTTATTCAGTTTCCGTAGGGCTGACATAGTGCCCACATTTTTTCAATGTTCGTTCCCGGGAAAAATTTGGGTATCCAAACGATTTGCCGTCCTATAGAGGAGTTCGAGCCTTATGATACAAAAAAATCGTCTCTTAGATAAGGACTGTGGCCATTCGCCAAGATGAAAGTTCTCTTTCTATTCCACGGCCGACCCCAGACCATAGCTGCGTTTAAATTGTAGCAAAATTCAACGCCATCTGCCAAGTGCCACGGAGTTGTCTCAGAATATGGATTCATACAACACTTTTTTGTTATGGTGGCTCGCTCTGGTAATGTATCCATAGGCGTTCCCAACTTTCAAGGGTTGTTGCTTGGTATAACATCAATCCAGGAAAAGGCGCGGTGGGGGGCGGGGTAACATCAATCCATGGGAGGGGGTTGAAAACAGTGCCCTCATATCAGAAAAATGTAGTTTCTCGTGGTCGAATTCGAATTTAGACTCCACATAGACTTTTAACGCCCGGCACATCCAAGACGTTTACTAGTTTCTTTAAGCTTTCATCTCAAAAGTATGAGACACTCATCAGTTATTTAGTTAATTACCTTGCTTTCGTCGTTCGATTTAGACACTTCCAATAGTCTGACGCCTCTTTTGCTATAGTGGCATTCAAGGGTAACTGTCGCGATCCACCTCCTGAAGCTTGAGTATGTGTGCTTGTTGCCTTATTCCAACGTCATGAATATATGGAAAAATAGACGAAAGTTCCGTTCCTTCTCCAGATTTATAACAATCACGTTGCAACTTACCACCAAGTATTCGAACCGGTATATGAAGCTGGAAACGTCTTAGTTCCTCGAATGAAGTCGGTTCTACGTTACATAGCTCGAGACTTGGCGTTAGTCGTCTGTGAGACTGGTAGGAGTCGATCAGGAAGGCGACAACCTGTCATAAAGGATTGCTACGCAGATAAAACATATTACATTAGGTGCTGAAATGATGGCGTAAAATAGAGAATCTCCAGGTAGAAATTTCGTCATTTTATTTTGTCATTAGCATTTACGGTCAACTAGCTACATATAACTTAGCAATTGCGAGTGCACGGTTAGGTTATATGTTATGTCACTGAGCCCGACCCTCTCAAGCATAACCATACTTTGAGAAACTACGAGAAGGTTTCCAGTGCAAGTTGGGCTACCTTGTTCAGAATCATGTTCGCGAAAAAGAGATGTGCCCTCATGATAGCAAAAATTGGGGTAAACGGGTGCAATCATAGAGTTAGGCCTTTGCGCCCTGGGTACAGCATCGTGATGTGTGAAATGGTGGTGTAGCTGTAGGTGTACCCTCCCCCCCGAGAGAGGGTGTCACTTCCCTCCCCCCCTTCCTCAACACCTACCTATATTCCACATGTTCCAGTTGTTTTTTCACCCAAAAGTTTTCCGTCGGGCGGGAGTTGGGGGAAGGAGGGGGCGGGAAGTATGTAGTAAACATGAAACAGGAAAAATCACGCGAAAAGTAACGACGGGGAAACATTTTTTCCCAACGCGGCAAATTCCTCCAAAGCCACATAGTGCCGATCGCATGATGCTGATGTTGGTATCGAACGGCGGGAGGAACACCAAGAACACCAATTTCAGGAACACCAAATTGCACGCCACCTTCTCTATTATCTGCCACTGGAAAAAAATTTTGCAAAATTTTTTCCAAAATAATTTTCATCTGAAAAATACAGCCATTTTCTCCCCCTCCAGTCCCGCTCTTTCAGTATGGCCCCTCTTTCCTATCTTACCTAGCATTTTTTATATTTCCCAATTTCCTGTCACTGTTTTCCACTTCTTCAGAGATGGACCAGCTCCCCCCCCCTATCGAAAAACTGTCATGAAGCTGAGGGTGGGGTGGTGCATAGCGCACATGAAAGGGAAAAACTGAGTAAATTCAAAAACAGGGAAAATTTTCATTGATTGCAACTGCGACTCCCCTCCCTTCAGCAGTCAAATACGACCCTCATCGCCGCGGATCCCCAGTGCACGAAGGGC